TCCACCCCGCACAACATGATCTACTCGACCACCATTATGGGTACCGCCAAGAGAAAAACAGAGGTAAAAAATAACGGCAACCTGGTTGCCGAGTTCACGAAGTGAATTGGCTTGTTTTACAACGTCGTTGCCAAGCGACGAAAACCCAACCCCGATGGCAAACACCAGGGGGGGGGGCAGAATACTTCTCCAACAACCGCGAGTTAGGGACAGAGTTTTTCATGGGAAGGTACCGATGTACTGCAGTGTGCACCTACAGGTTTATCACGTTCACGGTTTGAAGCCAAAGGCTAACCCGCCAGCCTATTTCGCACCGGCGGGGGGGGGGGCTGCGTGCAACAAGCGTGGCGGAGGATTTATAGCAGAGCGCTATCGAGTTGAAGGCCGCGAGTCTCTTCAGCAAGTGTCATCTCCTACACTGATTGTGCCCTCTCCAATCGCGAAGCAAAACGCATCTGGGCTTCCGAAGGGCGGAACACAACAGCAGTCAACTCGGGTGGTGAATAGCCCCCCTACCGAACACGCTATCACGATCAGACACGTCGTGTTTAGACACGCGGTGGATACGCACATATCGATGGAGTATCTTACCTGCATCTCCATGTCTCCTTCAATTCTACTTGCTTCGGTCGTTGATATTCCCGGCGTGTTCGTCCCCCTCCCTACGGTGTTTATTCTAGTAATTGTTTTGTTTGAGACATGCGGAATCAAGAGTGGCAGGACGGACACGAACAACACAGGGTGGGTGTTTCGGAAACAAACCGTGGGCGTACTTAGTCCCGACAGAAAATCAAATCTTTGGGCATCGAGCTTACGTTTGGTACGTGTGTGAGCAAGTAGTACAATTGAAGGTGCACGTGAGAAAGCAATAGGGGATACGTAGAAGTAAAGACTGTGTTTTGTTTGTGGGCCACACGAAAGGATTTCGTTGAGTTCCCCGTACACTGTAGCTCAACGGTGTCGAGATGCCGTGTCCCCAGTTGAACCAACCACAAGAGAATCAGGGGTCTGGAGAGATCGCGGGAAACGGTGTCCGTCGTTGTTGTAGGTACAGTTCTTCCTCTTGAACGTTTTACTCCGAGCTCCGAACAAATCAAGTCGGATTGGCAATATTAATATTTCGGTCACAAGTGGTTCACCCAACGAAGGTGCACGGAACAAAGAATAACGACAACCAGAGACACCACGGGAACACACACGTGTGCAGGCCCTCCAAGACCACCAACATGAAAGTAGGGCTAGGCCAGGTACACTAGGAGGAAGCCGACAACCCACCCTGTCGGCTCTCAGTAACGGACTACCAGAGACACTGCCAACGTCCTAAGGTTGTGATTGTTTGATTGATTGGCGTTGCCTCTACCATCGATGACTCTCTTTTCTACAAGAAGAACCTTTATCGGGGTAAATTGCCTTGTCGGTCGGGATCGTTTCGTTGATCGGCTACTCCGCACTCAGACCCAAATAGTCGGCTGAGAACGTGTCTCTTGCTATCGTACCCCACCGAAAGGTCCGTGTCGACCACGGGCGAGTGTAAGCGTGACCGTCATGTCCAAGCGTAGCCGTATGCCGGGGGATACACAACCCCGAATACGTACCCGGTAGTGTCGGCTCATGTATGATTCACGCTGCAATAGACTCACAATGTAGCACGTGACGACAACAAAGGCGGGTACGCGTTTGCACCCATTGCTCTGGTTGAAACCAACTACGAGGGCAATCTGACCGCATGTTTGTAGGAAAATAAAGCAACATCACAAACGACGAATGACACGACAACAAAGAAGCAGTCACCTTTCGGAGAGTGGGGGAAACGGCGACACAGATCCACCCGCGCCTCCAGGTTCCACTGTCGCATCATCTCCGTCCCCACCTCCGCCCCCCCTTTTCGTCTTCCCCACACCCGCTGGTGTGTCCTGCTCCCCCTTCTTCCCGCTGACCTTCCCAACGTCGCTACCGCCCGCGAGTGCTTCAGGGGCCGAGATTTCCACCCCTTCGGTGTTCTCACCGTCCACAACCTGAACGCTTGCTGCAGCCAAAACCACGTCTCCCCCCCCGTGCGCTCCCTCTATACCCGCCCCCCTTCCTAGCCCACCAGGCACAGCCACGCCTAGCGCCCCTGTGTCCTCTCCTCGCCTGCTGCTTGCCCTGCTTCTCAGCCTGCTGGCTGCTTGGTCGAGCGCACGACGCCCGACGTGTACCTCCCTGAAGTGTCGGAAGGAGCACTCGTCGTAGTCGCGGAGAGCGCCGACAAAGTCCTTCAGCCGTCTGTTCGCGCAAGCCAGAGCGTTCAACGGGATCGGGGTTGGCTGGTATTCCCAAGGAGGCGAGGGTTGTAAAGCTGAGCTGTATTCGGTTTTGCCGACAATCAGCAAGGACCGCGTTGCCTGTCGTCCGCCCCCCTGCTAAAGGAAAGAGGTTGTCAAGGGTCAGGGTACGCCAGGTTTTCGGATGGGTAAGATTGGCGACGGACTGAATTTTGGCGGGATATGTCAGCAAGGATATGTCCACGGGCGGGCTGTTATCGCCACTTCCATCTTTGGAGAGTAGTATGCTAGAGGCGACCACCCGGTGTGAGCGTTGTAATGGGTGGAGTCGCAGTGGGAAACGGCCATGAAGATTGAGGCTAAGAACACAAGACGGGCATCTGCACTTTTCGTTTTTTCTAGGCTGGACTCCAGACGGGTAGCGATGACTAAAGCTCTAGTGAGTTACCAGCATGGAACGTTGCCTCTTGCCTGGGCCCGACAGTTACGCTCTTCTCTGTCGAGGGGAGAGGGGGGGGACTCATTGTCGTGCATGCCGTAATCGTTAGACC